ATAGTCAGTCTGTGTGCTTCAGCTTGCAAAACCGAGTTATCCATCTTGACGGCGTAAGTGTTAGTTCACTGCATACATTTTATTTATATTAGTACATTATCTATTGAATCAACTGACCATTAGCAAAATAATATATTGAATTTCTACAGAAATAGTTCTATGTAGTAGGTCTATGGATCTTATTGATATCATAGAATATCTATAGGTTTTCTTAACTACAATATTAAGGTCAATTAAAAAAACCATTACATTTAAAAAATAATCTATAGAGTTCTACTAATAATCTTGGTATTCTAAACCTCTGAAGAGTTCTTACAGAGTTCTATGAACTACTTTTCTAAGGGAATGTTCTGCAAAAAAAAAAACAGCCAGTGTGCTTTTGGCATGCAATACTTAAGTTGCACAACTGGATTATCAAGTCATTTTCAATTCTATACATTAACAATTCTAATCAAAGTTACATTTAAGGTTAAATTAATAATCATATTTGAATGTATTAACAAATGTCAAAATATTAAAGAGCTTTCAATTTTCCAATGGCAGTAGGAATGGCGTCACTGAATTCAGTTTTTATTGCTTTGTCCTTAACTAGGACGCGACAAATTTGTGTTGTGATCGAAAGCTCCTACAAATCATAATTTCGAACAAGTTAGTAAATCTGTGGAGAAAAATCATGAAATTTTAACCAAGAAGTTATCTAAACATGGGTGTGTATAATAACTTCTTGATTTCATCATGGGTTAGCTCTTACTATGTTTGATGCTTGGATGCACGTCTTGATACAAGATATTATCCAAAAAAACAAATCAGCATACAGTATAAATTCACTGGGGTTAGTTCTTACTATGTTTGATGCACGTCTTGGTACAAGATATTATCCAAAAAAACAAATCGGCATACAGTATAATTCAACTGGCAAGTTTATACAAGTACAAGTGGATAAAAATGGGTAATAATCTAGTCTTTGTGGATCGCATGAATATAAATATTAAATCCAAATCTGTAAAACAAATAAAAGAACAACATAAATGACTAAGGCCTAACTCGCACTAACACTAGCTGCTTCTTAATGCCTGCATACATGACCGGTCCAGCCCAGGCATGACGACAATGGCAACACAAGCACCCCTTGTATACCTTCTACCATGACCCCCAACATTAGCTTAAAATGGGTTACAGTACCCTCACAATGCTCAAAAGCCTGCGATGATATACTGTATAGCATTGAATCACTTTGAAAAGCAAAAATTGCTAGATGGGAATGTGAAAACCTAATAAAAAGAAAACCCAAAGTGAATTAGAACTACCAAAACCAACAGTGGTGGCTCTAGGATATATTTTCTGGGGGGGGGCCCCCCCTAAGTCTGTCTCTTATACACATCTAGATGTGTATAAGGGACAGCTGCTACCCTTATCAAGTGACCAACAATAAAAAAATAAATAATATTTATGAGGTATTTATATTAATTTGGTTTACAAAAGTGTTGCTGTTCGCAGATGAAGGTGGACAACCTGAAATGCAGAAGTGGTTAGTTCTTACTTTGTTTGATGCTTGGATGCTCGAAGCGATGTCTTGCCGCATTAGTCACCTACCTGGTCATATTCATTGTGCATCAGGATACAATTTGTACAACTGGTTTATAATTTATACATCATAGGTCTAAGTGTTAGTGTTGTATATTGTGTATATGTGGCTTGTTGTGTTCTGTGTTGTGTGATGATTGTCTCTGTATTTTGAACAGACCCTTAGAAAAAATAATGTATAGAATTTCTGTAGTATACTTCTAAAGAAGTGTGTAGACGCTTTTGTATATTTGTAGAATCTCTATAGCAATAATAATTATTATAAAAATGTTTCATATTATATGAAACATTTTTAACCTAACCTATAATGTTCTATCAATTTTCAATAGCATTTTTTTAAAACCTCGTATAGAGTTCTTACAAAATTCAACAAATTACTTTGCAGAAAAAAGTTTCTAAATAAATAAAACACATGAACATACTTAATAGCAAAATAATACATTGAATTTATAGCATTACTTCTATAGAAGTCTTTGATCTTATTGAATATTAATAGGATATATATAGGTTTTTCATATACAATTTAATAACCTAACCTATAATGTTCCATAACTTTCAATAGCATTCTCTTAAACCTCTTATAGTGTTTCTATAGAATTCCGTCAACTATTTTGCTAATAGCCAGACCTGTCATCATAATAGTCAGTCTGTGTGCTTCAGCTTGCAAAACCGAGTTATCCATCTTGACGGCGTAAGTGTTAGTTCACTGCATACATTTTATTTATATTAGTACATTATCTATTGAATCAACTGACCATTAGCAAAATAATATATTGAATTTCTACAGAAATAGTTCTATGTAGTAGGTCTATGGATCTTATTGATATCATATATCAAACCATATTAGCAAAATCATGTAAAAGTCGTCTTAGATGGCGCATGCGTACAATTGACTTTTTCATTTAAGCAATTTTAAAGTTAAAACATATTGATAAATCGGACTTTCTGACATAAGACGAATTTAAGCTGATTTCTAGTTTGATAGATTTGGCCTCAGGGCTCTAGATGATTATAGAGAGCGCCACCAGTGTCTGTTTTTGTTATGGTGTTGAAAAAATGTAGTATGGAACGCTATTAGTGCAAAGAAGTAATATGGAACGCCATTGGTACCAAAGTCCATTTATTTTTAATAGTTTTCACTGATTAAGACAAACATTTGGGACTGGAAATCAGTCTGCTGCTAAAGTGTAACAGAACATTCCAGCATGACAGCTGGCTTATGAGTACACACGCATGTCCCACAAACAAAAATGTTTTACGTAGATGTACATTCCAGCAAGGTAATTCAACAGGACACACATCTCGGCACATCAAATGTTATAACTTTGGCATCGACATTCTAGGTGCACCTGCATCCCTACACGCTGAACGTCACAAAAACCATAGCAACCAGACCATAAACCGTCAGCGTATGTGACGAATTACCCATGTGCGTATTAGTTGCCATGATAATCGCGCGTCGTGCGGTGATTACAAAGGCCTAATGATATTTTGCACTAACATTAGACTGAAATTATGTTCTTCATTTCAACATTAATTTTACCAAAATTGTGGTGTATTGTCGTTCATGAGACTCACTTCACAGAAAAAATTAATAAATGTTCTGTATATACTCAAATGTTTATTTTCGGCACCTTATGCCAACATTGTCAAAATGACAGATTAATGTTACATAAGAACATGAGATTTTATAAAATTCGTAAATTTTAAATTGCTATAACTTTTAATTTTCTTGGTCAATTTTCAAAAATCAAATTGCAGTTTATAGAAGCATTTAACAAGCTTGCGGTAAAAAAAAGTCAGATGTAACAGACATTGCGAAGTACCCAAAATTAATAAAATAAAAACTAACACCATAAAACGAATGGCACGCATAGACTAATAATTGACGGCTGCACTCGCAACTAGTATTGGATTGTCGATGCCACAGTAAAGATTAAAGGACTGTACGCACACGCTATGTTCGAGAGCGGAGATGTGCATCCTTCTGTTGAATTACCTTGATTCCAGCATGACAGCTGGCTTATGAGTACACATGCATGTCTCACAAACACAAAATGACAGCTGGCTTCATTTCATAAAGTAATCAAATTAGATATTGAACATTACTTGTATAAATTCATTAGTTAAACATAAACAAAATATCTTTAAATATTTCATGTGGAAAATAAAATATTGTGGTACCAGGGCTCCAAGGGTGACCAGTCTACTTGACTTGGCCACCCTGGTTAAAAATTGTGAACAAATAAATAAATATAATTATAATAACTGAACTTGCGAATGTTATGCTGTTGCCAAAAATAATGACACATGGACAACCATTTATAATGATGATGATGATGATGATGATGATCTAAGTAGTACAATTTCAATTCTTTATACTATACATTTAATTTTATATATTATACATTATTATATATTATTAATTCACATACAAGCTCTCAATGATCTGTCTTGGAATGTTTACTTATTAACACTTTTTTTAATACCTTGTTTAGGAAACTTTGTTTTTTAAAGTCTCCAGTGAAAGGTGAAAAAAAAATAAAATTGTGTTTTCTCATTAAGCAAAACATTATGGCAAAATATTAATAAACAAAAACTATGAATGTATGATCCAAAATAATTAATAAAACATTAAATAATGTCCTTGGGACCTCATCCTAACCTGTATTGTATCATATAAACAGTAATCTGCTTGATAAATGCCTTGAGGGCAAGTCGATTGGCCAAGCGGTAACACAGAGGCGCTGCTAATTACAGCCTTAACATTGGCCTTCATTTCGAGCTGCTTGTCATCCAGGGTTCAGTTGGTAGAACCAAGTCACCTCATATAAGGACTTAACAAAATGTGTATACATCTGGCTAGTCTGCATCAGGGTAAGTAGGGAGTTACCCTGATGCCAAGGTTTATTTCATACCCTGTCGTCATGTAATTATGTAAACACGAACCTACTGACCGCCTCTTTATGGCTGCAACAGTAGTCAAGGACCATGCCAATAACGAAAGTACAGTAAGTGTTATTCTCGTTCCCTTCATTCTTACTATAATATATTTATTTAATTTGACGAAGATAAACAACATTGTTGGTGGTGGCAGGCACGATAACAAAAAAAAAGTAAAATAGAATGCTTGGGCAGCCGTTTCACAAATCAAGGTATAACAAAGTGTCGTCTAATGTCATGTCTGTACCCTCTGCACTGAAGCATGGTACAGTAGTACCATCTGTAATAATAGGAAGCTTTCCATTTGTGCAACCATGCGACGCTAGAATGGATTCACCCATTTGTTACCGTCCTATGTCCTCTGCACACAACGTAGATTTATCCAAAGTGCATCCTAGAATCCATGCGACCGTGAAAATTCAACATTCTCGCATACGTAGATGACTTTAAAAAATGACCTTGTTAAATGGGGATTAGGTGAATTTTGGAAATCATTTATTACCGAATTGTTAGATGATAAGCATCATTTAATTCTCGATAATCTTAATGACCAAACTGATAACCATAAATTAGCAGAAATATTTGATAGTTATAGTAAGGTGTTTCTCAAAGGCGCATTGGAAATTAAGATCTGAAATATATAAATCCATGGCCACATTAACACCCGTTACACTTTAATTAGTTTTTGTATTTCCTTTTTTAATCTGTTAATATGAACCTTTATGATCAGTTAGTTCTAAGGTCTATATTTTGTTATAAATATCTTGTAATGTTTTTTTTTTTTTTTTTTTTTTTTTTTTTGTTTTTGTTTTTTTTTCCTTTTTATTTTTTTTTTTAGTTTATTCCCTTTGAATGTGTTATTGTAGTAAATATGAACCCATGAATTGGGTCTGTTAGTTCTAGCTTCATATTAACTTGCCATTCATACAACAACTCTGTAAATAATACGGTCCTGTAAGACTACCATACCACATACACCTACATGCCATGTTGATAAATTTTACTTTGTATATACATTTTAGTTTAATTTACTCCTAGTTTAAGTTTATTATTTTCCTCTTATATTTGGATGCACCATTGGGTATTATCCAACGTGTGCCACTGTTACGAAAGTGATATCCATTAAATTGAACTGAATTGACTTTTAGTGACGTCATTACGTTCTACGTCCTACCGTCGTCGTACAATCGAAAGCGCCCTATTGACTGAGTCTCTAAATAAATAACTTGTGAATCTAATGCAATGTTGTCAAAAATAATGGTGGTTTATGACTTGCCACAAATGACCAGGGCAAGTGGTTTTCAGCATTTAAAAACCAGCCATTAATGATATTGGTATATTGGCTTCCTACTTGAACAACCAAACTAGTGTACCACTATGATATGAACAAGTATTTTCTCACCAAAACAACAAGAATTACCATTAATAAATTATTATTAAAGGTTTTCCTCTGTGACTTGCCAGTGTAACGATATAGATAAGAGCTTTCTCATCGAAACAACAAGAACAACCATTAATGATATAGGCAAGTGCTTTCTCATCAAAACAACAAGAACTACCATTAATGATATAGTCAAGTGCTTTCTCATCAAAACAACAAGAACTACCATTACTGATATAGTCAGGTGCTTTTCCTTTGTGACGTTGACATGGCACTACAATGATACAGGCAAATGCTTCGCTCACATTACAAATTTAAAACCAGTCATTAATAATATAACCCACTGGTGTCACTTGCCACTAATATCTTCATTGACTTGCCATTAATAACATGGGCAAGTGGTTTCTCCTGTTTTACAAGCTGTACTTAATCTCATGCTTAACACAGGCTTTGAAGCCTGACCATCCAACAGGGCTCTTAAGATGTTCCTAATAAGAAAAAAAAAAACAAAACATTTTACAATATAAAAATATGGCCTCGGTTCTTTTTGTTACAATTAATATCATAAAAAATAATATAATAAAATTTGAAAAAAAAAAACAATGGTAGGCAAAAACATGAAGCTGTAATGTGCATATAATTTGCATATAATTTGTATGAACACACTTGAGTCAACCATTGTTATATTAAGTTGTCAGAAAGTAAAAAGCTTGTTTGAATTGGACTTAAGTTAAGTTCTAGATTGAAGACACTTTTTTCAATTATATTAATTTCTAACAATATTGTAAAGCATAACGTGAAAAAAGCAGAATATATATCATTACATATTATATAGTACTATATCACTATGTGAAGCAATCTGACCTCAACCATTGGTTGTATATTATTCAAAGGTCAATTGCAGTCTTGATTTAGTTGTGCAATAAGCAGATGTCTATATTGAATATGTGTGCATTACATATCATTAATTGTCTAAAATAATTGTTTCAATAAATTTGTAGTTTCAACTTTCAGCAGGGCATAAACAAAACAAAATAGAGTGTAGTGTCAATGAGAACAAATTTTGCTGTTAATTAACACCAGTAGGTAGTAATACCATTGTCATAGCGCCACTGAACATTGCAATTGGCGCTATATAAATCATTGTTGATTGATTGACTGATTGTTTGAATGTACTTACCCGAAACCCCCTGTGTATTCGGTTCTTCATGACTCCAATGAACTCTTTTTGGCTTAGTTTGCCATCACCTGAAAATATCAACAAATTAAATTAACAATTATTGGTAGACTTTGTTACAAAAGAGTCTCTTTGGTATAAAACATAAAGAAAGAGTTACTGATATACAGCTCACGCTCCAATTTGACACCCCTCTAATTTTGAGACCCCTCTAATTCAAGACCACTTGTTCAAACAACAAATTAACAATCTTTTATCTTTTAACACAATCTAACCCTCTAATTGGAGACCAACCCAGTGGTAAAAATTCATACTTTAAAGGTTATTAGATTTGTTTCCAGCTATAAAATGTTGCTTACCATCTTTATCAAAAATCTGGAAAACTGTGTCAACGAGATGTGGGGCAAGCTGATGACCTGTGGTGACCTGGACAGCTCGTTCAAACTCAGCTGTAATAACATTAATGTGATTAAGCAAATACAATAGCAGAATATACCAATAGCAATTTATAATTTATAGACAAACATTTTGCAAAGAATCTTTTCAGTTGTATTAATAAAAAGGACTGCAAAAGAAACTACCAAGTGGAATTCATTGTAATCCAGCTCTCCTTGACGATGGAACACCCACCCCCACTCTAACTTGTGACAGCCCTGTTATGAAATAGATTAGTTGACTGGCATGATATTCTTAATAACAAGTCAAGTGTCCACCTGCCTCAGCCCCACCATTGTTGGGCCTGAGTGGAAAAAAATTATGATTATGGCACATCTAGATGGCTGAAAAAGGGCACTCTCAGAATTAAATTTGAATAGAATTTTTTGTTTTCTCCATCTTTTTAAATAATTTTGAAAGATTTAGGAGGGTGGGGGCTCGTGTCGGCTGGACTCCGTCACTGTTTAATATAACATTTGACTTGTCTATCATTTTGTTCCACAAATCACTAATTCGTAATGTCAAGCGAAAAGGTTTTCACTATAAAAGTTTTTACAATCTATAATACATTAATTAGAATGTACTATAAATTCTGTAGTTAACCTTCAGAGAACTTTATTTTAATAAATGGCCAAATTAAGTATCTTATTGTTTTCGTTAAATTGGATGCAATTTAAATGAGGTTATATTAGTTTCATTAAAGTTAAAATTAACATTGTATAGCGTTCTTTAACAATGTTTGTCACTGGTGCTTGAAGCAGTCACAATAGTGAGGGGGGGCGCCAGGGCCCCCACCCCAGTGGAAAAATTGGATGGGCCAATTCCACAACCACCACCCCGCTTCCCCCACCAAATGGATGGATGCAATGACAAAGATAGTATGCCATTCTTACCAAACACTAAGGGATGGATGCAATGAAAAGGATGACATGCTATGACACTTACCTTGTGAGATGGACTGATCAGCAAATGTGTACATCTTCATAACAATCTCAAAATCATCAAGATTATTCAAAAATTGAAAGAAGTTCCGAAATTCATCAAAAGATATCCCCTAAATGTTACAAAAAACATATACAGCATGAGAAAACATAATTTTACTAGCTTAAATAAGCAATGTTATGTATGCAGAAGATAAGAACTCCAGATCAGTGTTTGTACAAATACACACAGATTCACTAAACAAAACATTGGCAAGACTATACCAAGACTATTGTAATTTGAAACATATGCACTACGGTATATTGGTGAAGTGCTTGGCTTCCAATTAAAATATCTGGGTTTGAGTCTGGGGTTGGCCAATAGCTTGTTTTTTTGGGCCAGGCACGTTAGCCCAGTTATCTCTATCCACACGCCAGGAGTTTAAATGTGCACCCAGAAGGGTTTAATGCCAATGCACTGGTGACTAGCTGCATCATTATGGAATAATACTCCCACAAGATTACCAAGCTTGTGCTTAGTGGGAAGTGTTTTGAATCCGATTCCAGAGTATTCGTACTGTATGCAAAAGAATAGGCATTCCGGATCATGATTTATTTTTTCAAATACAGAAGAACTACATTTGCAAGAATATGCTAAGACTCTTGAATTGCCAATTCACACAAGAGCCTAGCAAATGTACCTTAGCAGAAGCAGTGAATGGTAACATACCTTTTGATGGAGAATCTTCTCCCTGACTCTGGTAAAGTAGCTTAGTTTCTCATCCTCATCAATCTGTGTGTAGCGTAGCAAAACTTGAGCAAAATCTGCCTCTGAAATGGTTGGCATGCCTTTGGCAAATTCCATGAAGTAGACACAAGTTAAGCAAAGTAACAGATGAATGTTGAGTTTTCATTTAAATGGTTTTGTTACTACTGATAAAAAAAAAAGTAAAACTAAAAACAAGGAATTGCAGGAAACATGAGGACCTACAGGAAAACGCGAATATTTTTGAACTATGGAACTAAAAGGAACTAAATATAAACATATGCAATTGCAGGGAAACGTGATCTGGATTTGAGCAGACAGGAAAACAGACGGATTATAGGCAATCTGTGGAAAAATAGGAAACATAATGGAATTGAAAAATGTAGAATACAGATATACATGTGAAATTTAAAGAGAATCATGTAGATAAATACATTAAATCTGTCTCTTATACACATCTAGATGTGTATAAGAGACAGCATCTAGATGGAGGAGAAAATAAAAATAAAAGTATGTTGGTGATTGTAAACAGTGTATTAATGGGATGGGATGGTTTAAAAAAAATATACATCTTATTTTTGGAGGTAATTTTTTTCTGAAATTTCCATTGAGCCAGTCTGATTTTAGTTTACGCATCCATCACATTTTCCTGGATATGGACCTGTTGGATAATAATAATTTTAAATTAATTTTGTTTTCTCATTGTTCTATAAATGTGTAGAGATCAAACAATCATGCTACTTTCTATTTTCAAAGGATATTTCCAGTTCAAGAACCTCTGTCTGCAAGTTATCCATGAACCTACACAATTAAAATGAACAGAAAAACATCAAAAATATGTGTAAATAGTATAAATATTATTTATTTAATATGTGAAGAAGCTTAAAAAAAATCTTGGTCTGTCTCTATATCTCTGTGTGGTGTGTGGGTATTGCAATAGCACATGTCTGTGTGGGTCTGTCTGTATGTCTCTGTGTGGTGTGTGTCCCTTCCAGGTCATAACCCTAAAACTACTGGATTGATACCACTTCAAGTTTTCACATTGACAATATTACATGTATCTTGGTTCTCCTCATTTGGTGCTAATTGGAAGTAAGATGCAGATTTTAGAATGTTAATCATATATTTTTCGGCTGTAACTGACAGAGCAAACTTGAGTGGATCGGTCAACCGTGTCATTTGGCTAGGCTGTTGACTCGAGCGGATAACTGCAGGCTGACTCGAACGGATCGACCATGTGTCAAATTCTGGCCGGCTGACTAGAAGCCCTATATAAAGGCATGCAAACTCACCCAATTGATGGGCTTACCATGCAAGGCCTATGATACTAGACACTTTTTGGAAAATGAAGCGGATCTACTGCAGGTCATTATTTTTTCAGTATATAAATATGGCTCAACGGGGCGAGGGTCTGTAAGCTCAGATCATCTTCTCTGTCTTTGTTTTCCTGTTAGTTTTCACTTTTGCTGTTAGGAAATGGATAGGCCAGATGCCAATACTATCCAAGTGCAGATGTATAAACTTATATAAACAGGATAATGAATTTCATTAAGTCATTATATTCACTAAGCTACTTACTGACAGAATGTGTTGAAATCCAGAGTTTCTCTTCCTTTTGATCCAAAAAAATACCGCAGTAGAGTGGTCTCCTGGACAACAAAGTCCTAAGAACCAAAAACAAATTAAATGTTAACATCAAATCATAATAGCCCTGATGTGCTGCAGTTTATGCAAAGAACTCACCCTTTAAGTCACAATGGTGGCGCAATATTACAAATGTATGATACTTCAAAAATAGATACTCAAAAAAATTATGATGAGCAAAGACTTCGGTAGAATATTTGAAATAAAGATGGAAGCAGGATTTTACACAGCAAATTGCAATGTTAATGTAAATATTAATATTCAACAACTGTATAATGAAATCATAATTAATGTTGAAATATTGAATCCCAACATGATGGCGTGCATTTCAATTTCTGATCCGAAATTAATCAGTGGACCTTTCGGTGTAATGGAGAGCAAAGATCTTTCACCCATGCCACCAAAGCTGTGAAATGCAATGCAATATTGCACACATGCCACCAATGCTGTGCAATGCAGGTCTCGCACACATTCTTAAATTCAAAACTCTCGTACATATGCCTTCCGATGCAAATGTTTGCACACATGCCGACTACTCCTACAATGCAAGGTTCTTCTTGTTATACCTCTGAAGGTATCGAATGAACCCTGTGCTACTCAAAGGTTAATATTTTACAGTATCTATGGTGGTGATAGTAAGAACATACATCTTAAAAACAGCAATCATTTCAATGTGAGAATGGTAGATGTGGCAAGACACAAGATATTATACTTACCAAATATTCACCAAAGTGCTTACCAGATTTTTTTAAAGCATCCGTGTGGCGCTTTTTAAAAGAGATGCTTTTTTAAGAGTGGTCCTCTTATAATTATTTATTATAATGGTATGATGTATTGGCGTATCTGACTTGTTAAAAGTTATTATTATATCAAGAAAAATCAGCTATTTATTAGCGATACAAAAAATAATTGTAGAGTAATATGTATTGTTAATAAGTGACAACTACGAAAAATAAAAATCTTACTGTAATTTAAAAAGCGTACTTAACAAAAAAAATTAAGTTTTAGTTTTACTACTTTTTTTCGGGAGGAGCGCACATTTGATAATAAAATAATAAGTAAATCAAAGTATAGATCATTATCTAAATATCTGCTGCACTTACGAAACATGTTATAAACTTAAAATATAATGAATAATAATATGAGTGATTAGCCCACAACACAAAGCATGCTTTGCCAATGCTGCTGAACAAGCATTTGCAAAGCTGTTTACACTCGAGCACAGTCAAATTTGGTGAAGTTTTGATCTCACAAGTTGTACATAGTTGATGACCTAAATGACCTAAAAAAAAAGCTATACGTTGTTATTCGTTAATTGGTTTGTTAGCTAGCAGCTCAAGTTCACCCACACAGCAAAGATTTGACTACACTAGAAGTTAAAAATATAAAAAATGTTTGATATTTTAAAAGATGGTATAAATAAAATTGAATAAAATACATCAATAGATGATTCAATGACTAGATGAAATTGGTTACACAAATTTTGAATAATTGAAGAGTTTGTGAAGTTATACAGACAAAACCAATTGAAATGTTACAGGATACAAAACCAATTGAAATGTTACAGGATACAAAGTGAGTGGTCACAAGAAGGGGACAGGGTTCACAAAATGGTTTGTTACAAACTGACAATACTGGTATTAATAGATAGGTGTTACATTTAGAATTAATTGGTATCAATTTATATATTGTTAAAGCCTGCAGCACATAAGAGTAAACAACATCTTAAGTATCCATTTGCGAAGCCAAACTTACAAACGAACTGCATATTTAGCAGTGACGATTACCATTTGTGAAGCCCCTTACTAGTTAGCGCTACAAAATGCAACATTATTACTTGATTAAAAAGGAGTTAACGATTCCAATCTATCAAATCTAAACAAGATTAAGCTCACTATGGACTTTTAATGTACATTAGTTTCTTGTTGGTTTCATTACCATTTACTTTAATCATGCAAATTACACTATAAAAGCAATGTTGACTATTATCACCATCAACTAAGATTAGTTAGATGATCACATTAAATTTATACTAAACAATAATATGATTTTTATTACTTTTTAAAGTGTTTTTTATTTACTCATATATTTGTTTATTTTTGTTGTTTTTTTTTTTTTGTTTTTTTTTGTCATCTGGTCTAGGCATATCTACCACAAGCTTTTGCTTTTTTTGGTTATGCCTTCTTCAATATCTTTTACCTCAATCTACTTTGTACTGTATAACAAGTTGAAGAAAATAAATGTTGCTTTGATTGATTGATAAATTGATTGATTAATTGATTGACACCTAGATTAATTGATTGATAGATTGATTGACTGATTGGTCAGCCAGAAGATCATGTGGAACAGACGGATAGAGGATCCATTCTTGGGACAACTGTGGCCAACCAAGTAAGTATGATGATCAAATCAACCTATTATATAATACTGTGATCAGAAAGATGTTCCCAGCAAAATAATACTATATAACTATGATCACCTAGACGAGCAGATCAAATTACTATTACAAACTCTTATTACATTATACAATGATCAACAAAATTATCATAGCAAGTTGCTAGTACAAAATATTATAATCATCTAGCTAGATGATCATAATCAAATTGCTATTGTACAATACTATGACCTGAAAAATTATCACATCAGATTGATATCATAATACAATGATCAACCATCTGATCACATCAAATTACTAGTATAAAATTTTTAAAATATGGTAGATTATTTTATTAAATGATATATGATATATAGATCTTAAATATTAAGTTTGATCATAAATGTAAAGACAACACCTTTGAAAGCAAGATAGTAGTGGTCTGCAGGGAGAGATCCAGAATAAACAGGGATACAGCTGGGGCTAAAATAAATTTATTGGGAGCCAGCACTGGGTACGTGACCAGCAGTTGGTAGTTAAATAGGGGTGCATGCCCTGCCCATCTCTGGATCCATCACTGGACAATGAAATCTTTTATGAAGAGATATTATCTTTTTATAGCACGATATAAATTATGATGACTGTTCTATATAACAATAGATTGTACCATCAATTTCAACAAGATATGATAATGGGATATTAAAAACAAAATATGAATCTTAGGAAATTGTTAGTATACAGTTGATCATTGCCTAGATTAACCATCCATTCTAACAACATATGAAGTTAGCTGGGTTCCATGTCTGGTCATTTCTTACTGTTGCGTGACCATTGATTTCAACAACTCATGGGCATGGAAATATGGAAAAATAAATAAATGGAGATCAGGTGATAAGATCAGGTGATAAATTAACTGATGATGGATGGCGGTTGAGCATGACACATCAACATGTTAGCTGCTGTGATCTACTCACTTGCTTTTTACTCTTTAAGTTTTGAATCATCAAAGAGGAGGTTGTACACTGTAAGAATACCACAGTTATTAAAAGTACTTTTCATATTAAACTGAAGAGGGAGCCATTCAGTAAAGCTTTGGAAGCCATAGTCACTTAATGAGGCTTGTGAAGAGATTACTTGATACTACAGATGCTCTGTAAAAAAGCAGGGGAAGATTTGTTGGGGAGACCTCCTTCCCCCCTCCCCCATTTGGTAAGTTAAAAAAAAAGAAAACAAAAGGAAAAAAAAGGAAATTATTGATAACCGAAAAGCCTCAGGTTATTTCCAGGCGCCTAGAAAATATGTTTGCAAGGGCATGCCCCCGGACCCCCTATTATACTGTTTTCTCTCAATCGTCCAATCCCCTCCCCCCGTCCCATTTGCTCCTCTGGCAGAGTGGAGAGTTGACCATTTGGGTCTTTATGGGAGAGTGAAGATTTGGGTCCCTCAAGGCTCTGTAACTACTGTAAGTATCTATCTGAGTCTTGCAGAGGTGGCGGAGAACTGATCATTTCGGTCTTTATGGGTTTATGGGAGAGTGAGGATTTGGGTCCCTCAAGGCTCTGTAACTATTGTAAGTATCTATCTGAGACTTGCAGAGGGGGCGGAGAACTGATCATTTCGGTCTTTATGGGTTTACGGGAGAGTGAGAATTTGGGTCCCTCAAGGCTTTGTAACTACTGTAAGTATCTATTTGAGGCTTGCAGAGGGGGTGGAGAACTAATCATTTGGGTCTTTATGGGTTTATGGGAGAGTAGAGGATTTGGGTCCCTCAATGTTCTGTAAATAAGTATCTTTCTGTGGCTTGCGTGGGGGTGGAGAGGTGATCATTTTGGTCTCTTGATGCCCTTAATTATGTCTAACCATTTATGAGGCTTTTGGATTAGTGAAGATCTTATGACTCGGGTCCTCAATCTCTGTAATCAAATGTTATCATGTAGGATAAATATAAATAAATAAAATAATGTGTATCTGATTCTAATATATAATACAATCTGTCCTAAAATATGAAGAAAAAAAAAACTAAAGCATTATGAGAAGAAAAGGGCATTATGGGACTAGTGCTGCATCAAAAGAAATAGTAGTGAAGCATTATGGGCCAGGGCTGATGACATTATGACATAACAGAGGCATTTAAATGCGACTCGAGGAACATCATTGGAATTCATTATAAAGAATTATAGGAAAAAGAGGGCAATATGGGACTCGTGGAGCATCATTCAATCTATTAGTGAAGTGAAGAAGGCATTATGGGATAAATTATTCTTCCCTGTACAACCCATCATGTTAGTAGTGCACAAGCTCATTTCTATCTAAAAGAATACCATAATACAGACTAAGCTGGCAGGTATCTGTGTGTGCTACAGTAATTCTCTGTTAGTATTTATTACAGGCTTCATTCTAACTTACAGATTTGGATTTTGTATTCTTTTTTGAGAGGTCACACTGAAAAAAAATCAAATGCCTTCGAAGAACAAAATGACTGAACAAACATAAGACATGTAAATGAAGAATGAGTTAATTAATGAGCATGTTTATAAATCATCATGATTCACATTAATGAATTACATCCATATCTAACCAGTGTATGTTCTTACTCTCATTCAAGTAATCTCATCAAATTCATTCATTCATTCATTTACAAAAATATATAAACAAAATTCAGTGTTCGTGGAAAATATTGGTGGTAGCGGAATTGCATGTGGGTGTTGGTGGAGTTGAAATTTGGTGTATGCAAAGTTGCATGGTGGTCTTGGCAGAGTTGCATGTTGGTGTTGGTGAGATTGCATGTTGATGGAGTTGCATGTTGGTGTTGGTGAAGTTGCATGTTGGTGGAGTTGCATGTTGAGTGTTGGTGAAGGTGCATGTTGGCGGAGTTTCATGTTGAGTGTTGGTGGAGTTGCATTTTGGTGGAGTTGCATGTTGAGTGTTGGTGGAGTTGCATTTTGGTACTGGTGGAGCTGCATGTTGGTGTTGGTGAGATTGCATGTTGATGGAGTTGCATGTTGAGTGTTGGTGAAGTTGCATGTTGGTGGAGTTGCATGTTGAGTGTTGGTGAAGGTGCATGTTGGCGGAGTTGCATGTTGAGTGTTGGTGGAGTTGCATTTTGGTGGAGTTGCATGTTGAGTGTTGGTGGAGTTGCATTTTGGTACTGGTGGAGCTGCATGTTGGTGTTGGTGAGTTGCATGTTGATATTTGCATGCAGAGTTGCATATTGTTATTTTGTGGAATTTCATTTTCTTTTAATTTACTATTAACTGAAGAGTGATACTCTTTTGCAGTTTTATTTGCTTGTCAAATTAAATTTTTGATTAACACAACAATTTTATTTAGCAATTACTATATTATAAAAGAAGGTTAAAATTTGTCTTCAAAGGCAAAGAAATGGTTATTTGATTAAAAAAGTTGTCATCAATGGGTAGCATGCAGATATTTAAGAAATACTGATGTTAATGCAAAGACAACAATAGCTGATATTGTAGATAATCACAAAGTAAACCTGTCTGTGTACAAAAGACATAAAATTCACAACAATAGGAATTAAAAAATCATGGAGGACCGGAGAGCATCTATAAATTTACATAATTACTCACAGATTCATCGGCTGAGCGTTCACTCTTCATCCGGAATATCTCTTCCATCTGGAATGACAAAATAAAACTTTTAATTAAGAATTTGTATATTTAACATCAATATATTAATGTGATTTATTGTTTGCCTAATATTAAACAAACAAAACGTCATTATTCTTCTAATAATAAACACTGGTTAAATATGTGTTAAAATGGTCCTTCTGAGAAGCATTTTTTTTATTCGGTTATGTATTTTATTTAGCACTTTTTTCTGTAGATACGAAGTGCTTCTGTCCCCAGTCAATTCTAAGGTTTGCTGCTCTAATAAGTGCTGGAGTAGGCAACCTCACCAGGTACCCATGTATGAAGCAATGCAGATAAAGTGCCTTGCCTAAGGACACAAGCGAAATGTACAGAGATAGATTGAAACCACTGTCCTCAAAGTTGGGAAACCAAATTAATCCTGTTGCCTTGGATTTAAATATTTATGTGGTGAGATGTTGACTATAATATCAGATAGTATATATTATTCTTCCTCATTTGAAATGATGGACCATGACTAGGCATTTACAAACTCTTTTGATTACAACCCGGAAAAAAAATTACCAGAAGGAATTCCTTTTTGTCAACTCGTTGATTACCATCACGATCAAACATCTTAAATGCTACTTCAAATCCAGCCTTGGGCTCTGAAACCAAAATCAAAGATTTATTCAATTATATAATTTTAATGGGTTACAGTGATACCTCACAGAAGCATACCACGTTGTTGTATAGGTGGATTATACATTACAATACAGCAGGGTTTAACCATGACATTATATACAACTTAAAGAATGGTTTGTCGTCAAGATTACATGGTGCATTTTCAGCGACAAAACGAATGTACCGTACAACATCAACTCGGCAAAGTCACGCTGGACCCACCAGGTTATACGCCGGCTACTAAAGGCATTGGCTAGCTTAGGCCGCACTCGGTATCCATGTGCTTCACTCTGGCTCCACGCTGGTTCATATACAGTTCTCGTACGTAAAATGATGTTCTACTGTACTTAATAGATGATTCATATTTGTACTTACTTGTCAGAATACACAGCAGAAACAGATACTCAGTGTATGAGATTATTCCTAAAAGATATATAAAAATAAATAATAAATACAAAAACATTTTGAACAATTATCTGTAATGAACTATCATAACCAAATATTAGGAGTAAAATTAATGTTTCTCCTAAAGAGAGAAGTCCAGTAACGTAAAACCTCAAAAAGAAGCCCAATGGGCTTACAATAATCTTGAAGAATCCCATCTCAAATTAATAATAATAATAATAATAATAATAATAATAATAATAATAATAATAATAATAATAATAATATGTCGTTCTTATATAGCGCTTAATGCCTTAACAAAGCCTCTAAGCGCTTAGATAGATAGATAGAAATCTTTCTTTATTCTGGATACTCAGTCAGTATTAGTACACTGTTCTTCCCTGAGGTCCAGGGTATGATCTTAAACTACTTTAAATTAAAAACAGAATTGATAAAGAAATATATAAGTTACATAAATATAAGAAGCAGAAAAAAGATTGGTAAATGAAATTAGATTTTTAAAGGATTGTAGGGAAATAGAATGAATATTACTGCGGATATCTGATGATAAATTGTTCCATAAATTAACGGATCGGTATTTAAATGTTCTTTTTCCAAAATCATTCTGCCATTTTGGTGAGATCAAAGTGTTTTTTGATTTGCTTCTTGTATTTATGTTATGATATTCATCGATTAATTCGTAAAAATGTGTTAAGTATGCTGGAACAGTTCCTGATAAGCATTTAAATGCGCATCACATTATTACCCCAGTCATTGGATCAAACACATAAGGATCACATTGAACACTAAACGAAATTATTAAATTAAATTATATCTCCATAATATTGCGGCTAGTAATCAGCGCAGTGTTGGAACCTACCAGGTACCCACTTGTACTCCTGGGTGGAGAGAGGCAACCGTGACAGGAGGCAACCGTAGATAAAGTGCCTTGCCCAAGGACACAAGCGACTTGCACAGCGAGAGTTTCGAACCCCCGACCTCAAGGTTGGGAGTCCAAGCCACAACCGATGCGCCAACCACTTCTACGATTTGAAGCCCTCCCCTTTAGTTTACAAAAGCAGCCTCAAAAAGAAGACCATGCCTTTTTTTGAGATTGTACAGTATCACTATACATGAATTTCAAAGAGACAAAAAATTAAAATCACGTTTATAAAGTAGTTTAGGTGATTTAATGCCGATTATTACTCCATGATGCCGATTAATACTCCATGATACAGATTGATGTTACAGTGGCCCTATTTATTGTTTTATGGTAGTAATTCCCAAAAGCTACAGCATTCATTTTGAAAAGGAGCCCCCACTTTACTTTGCAAAAGTAGCCTCGAAAAGACGCCCATCTCAACAAAAAACCCATCCAAATTTTGCAAAAAAAAAAAAAAAAGGCCCAATACAATTTTAGGTTTTACAGTATTTGATGAATAAAAAGTGCAGCCATGGTAGTCTGCTTTAAAACAATATAAGGAATTACAACAGCACTTTTAAGACTAATTTGAATAAAATTTATTCTTTAGCTTTTGTCCACACAGTGGACTTCATCAGTATTTGACTGTGCATGTAACTGCTGGCACTCTTACATCAAATCGTTAACTAAATATAGTGCATCTGTGTGCAAATTCATTAACAACCATGGTAACAACTAGAGCGCCCTCTCTCAAAAGCAATTGCTTTTTATGCTTCTTTTTACTGAGCATCGACGCTTCTATTTGTTACGTGTAAAATGGCGGAGAGCGCGATTTTGTAATTAAAAGATCTTTTGTAGGTTTTTTTTCTTTAGAACCATCATATGAAGATCCATGGTGCTTTTCTGGAATATCATACAAAGTTACAAACGAGATTAATGTTGCCACTAATGATTGTAGTAGCGTGGACTTTAATCAGAAAAAGCTTGAAAATGATTTCACCAATCTCATTGAAAAGCTGAGAGAGAAAGTATCTGGTGAAGTGCTTGTCTCAGGAATCTGCCCTTGTATGGATAAATGCTATTTTCAAGAAAGCAGAGTTGTTCATAGTGAAGAGCAGTCAGGGTGAATTAATGTAACATCTGGGGTCCCTCAAGGTTGTGTGTTGGGCTCGCTTCTCTTCCTAATTTACTGTATGTTAGTGACATTGTAAATGATATCATCAATATTTCAGTTTGCAGATGACCATACCCTCTCCCACCAAATAAATGATATTAGGGACTGTATTGCTCTTCAGATCTTGACAAGATATTAAATTGGTCGGTTGACAATAAAATACCTCTAAATGTATCAAAATGTGCTATTATGCATATAAGTAAAAGTAAGAACCCAATTAAATGGGATTATAAAATAGATAATTTTTGCTTACAAAAAGTAAATGAATTTAAATTACTTGGTGTTCTTATAAATAATATACCTTCATGCCATACACAGGTATATTATGTTTGCTCTAAATCATTACAATTACTAGGATTTATTAATAAGTGTAGTAAAATATATCATGGGCTGTAATGTTAAATCTATATAAAACATATTGTTGGGCAATGTGGGCACCAGGTGACAAAACTAATATTAATAGAAGAGCTACCAGAATAATTAAGTTTAAAAAGATAGTGATTGGGACACACATTATCAAGATAGGCTGGAAACGCTTAACATCTTAAGCATAGAAGATATTGTTAAATATCAGCGGCTTGTTCTTGGTTTCAAAGTTCTTCATAATTTGTGTCCCCCTACATTTACAGAGTTTGTTCATAGGAGTGAGCGTTGTGAGGGCAGGCTTATTCACTTGAAAGCCAAAAGCAATATATTTCCTAACTCTGCTTTTGTGTCCTTTTTTTAAAAAGGACACAAAAAAAAAAAGTCTTAAAAGACTGGGAAGAACTACATCCTGTACTTCAAAACTCTGTTAATGTTTCATCTTTTAAGAATAATTTAATTAAGCATTTCATACAGTATGTTTGTGATTAATTCTATTTGTTTTTTGTTTTAATTTGTGTATTTTAAAATATGAAGGATAGGGAACAAATCTTGTTCGGGCTTTTGCCCATTTCCTATCCGGGCAATGTTATTTTAATTCTGTATATTTTTTGCCAAATAAATATTATTATTATTATTATAATTTATACAAGTAAAATTGCAAATGGAATGGAAATGCATTGCTACCCACTAATAAGAATCAAGAGTAAAGTTAAATTATAAGCCACTGCATACTTAAGTAAAAAGTTATAATATAGTGTTGTATGATAAAAGGCAAATTAGGCTATAAACAATTATGGACTGCGATAGTGTGATTCTGTGTATTGGCCAAACTTAAGTCAAGCATGAGTTATTGCTTAAGAAATTTTGCTCAAACTTTGAATATAAAAAGTAAGAATGTCCCTGCTATGGCGGACGAGTTTACGTTGACCTAATTGGAATGTTACTATCAGGGATATACTGGTTTCAGCCTGGTGGGGAAGGGGGATGCAAAAAAAGAGAATGCGGAACTAATTCCCTATTTCATCTCCATTCCACTGAAAACTTAATGGTCACTTTTATTAAATTAACTCACTTTGGTGGAATTAATTTGATGCCATTGGGGGAGGCTTTGGGTCTGCACTCCAGCCTATGCCTATGACCATACAGTACTTAGTTATAAATAATAAAGACTTCTACACAAAAATGATGGGGTACATAGGAACACAATGTAATACAAATAATATTTTTGTTAGTTAAAATTCACAATTCACAGAAGTCTACTTAACTAGATATATATTCAATAATTTACAATGAAGCAGTCAATCAGAATGGTTAGTAAATGTAAAGAAATCAATTGAATAATCATAATGATACAATTGAATGAATGAATGAATGAATGAGTAAATATGACATCTTGCACTGTAAAGACATCCTGTAATGGGCAATTCCGCTGTTGGATGTAATTGAAATAAAATAAAATAAGTAAAATAAAAATAAAATCTTTAAAGTGATAATATCGTCTCTTATACACATCTAGATGTGTATAAGAGACAGATATATAAGTTACATAAATATAAGAAGCAGAAAAAAGATTGGTAAATGAAATTAGATTTTTAAAGGATTGTAGGGAAATAGAATGAATATTACTGCGGATATCTGATGATAAATTGTTCCATAAATTAACGGATCGGTATTTAAATGTTCTTTTTCCAAAATCATTCTGCCATTTTGGTGAGATCAAAGTGTTTTTTGATTTGCTTCTTGTATTTATGTTATGATATTCATCGATTAATTCGTAAAAATGTGTTAAGTATGCTGGAACAGTTCCTGATAAGCATTTAAATGTCATTACAAGAATATTATATTCCCATTGTTTGTCCACAAGCTTCCAATTTAGTGATTCCTTAAGATCATAAACAGGCGTTCTTATATCAGC